TGGTAGATTTGTTTTACTGTGTATACAGTGTACTCTAGACTGGTAGATTTGTTTTACTGTGTATACAGTGTACTCTAGACTGGTAGATTTGTTTTACTGTGTGTATACAGTGTACTCTAGACTGGTAGATTTGTTTTACTGCATACAGTGTGTTCTAAATTCATAATTTCTTACATTTAGTTTACTAGAAATAGCTGGTTTTGAAAAGCACAAAGAATATTTGGTAATTGAAATATCATTTTTTTTATGTACACAATTGTTAATAATTATTTGTCTATTATGTATTTCAGAAGTACCAGTCTTCCCAGCAATGTGAGTAGCATAGACCTTCAGGAAACTGCTAGTCTTCCCCTTTTGATCAAGGAAAAAGACATTGAGTATCAGGTTAGTTTTGTTTGTTCATGTGATGAACAAGACATTGAGTATCAGGTTAGTTTTGTTTGTTTATATAATACCTGATGAACAAGACACGAAGTATCAGTTTAGTTTTGTTTGTTTATATAATACCTGATGAACAAGACATGAAGTATCAGGTTAGTTTTGTTTGTTTATATAATACCTGATGAACAAGACATGAAGTATCAGGTTAGTTTTGTTTGTTTATATAATACCTGATGAACAAGACATGAAGTATCAGGTTAGTTTTGTTTGTTTATATAATACCTGATGGACAAGACATTGAGTATCAGGTTAGTTTTGTTTGTTCATATGATGAACAAGACATTGAGTATAAGGTTAGTATAGTTTGTTTATGTAATATCTGATAAACAAGGATTGTAAATTGTAGATACAAAAATTAAATTATCAAAACATTTTGTAATGTTTTATATCTGTTTTTATGCTATAAGAAACTAACCGCAGTAAAAGAGAAACTTCCCGTTCATGTGTTGACAGAATGTTGTTCTGTCGGATCACATTTTAGAAAGTTATTCATCATGTACATAGTTTGTTTTTATCTTTATGCCAAGTTTCTTGTTGTAATATTTAATTTTGATTTTTCAGTTACATCGGGTGATATTGTTTGAACGTCTGTTAAATGCTTATCCTTATAAGAGACCACAAATAGTTCGAGAAGCAAGGGCTGATATCCCACCACTGTACAGAGGACATGTGTGGGCAGCTCTGTTAGAAATTGAGGTAAGTTTTAAAGAGGACTTTTAAATAGCATATTTGGAAATTTAGATGAGTTTAAAAAAAGGATATGTCTGGACAACTCAGTTAAGATAATGTTTCAACAGAGGAATTATCCTAGTGGCTATTAAGGAATACACAGAATTTCAAAAAGGACATATCTGTTCAGCTGTGGTGAAGTTAAACTTTTCCTACTCATTAAGCACACATATGTTTTTAGTATGATTTATGCTACTGTTGTTACTTTGTAATGTTTCAGCATGGTTTACATTACTGTTGTTACTTTGTAATGTTTCAGCATGGTTTACATTACTGTCGCTAATCTGTAATGTTTCAGTATGGTTTACATTACTTTCGCTAATCTGTAATGTTTCAGTATGGTTTACATTACTGTCGCTAATCTGTAATGTTTCAGTATGGTTTACATTACTTTCACTAATCTGTAAGGTTTCAGCATGGTTTACATTACTGTTGCTAATCTGTAATGTTTCAGCATGGTTTACATTACTGTTGCTAATCTGTAATGTTTCAGCATGGTTTACATTACTGTTGCTAATCTGTAATGTTTCAGCATGGTTTACATTACTGTTGCTAATCTGTAATGTTTCAGCATGGTTTACATTACTGTTGCTAATTTGTAATGTTTCAGTATGGTTTACATTACTGTTGCTAATTTGTAATGTTTCAGCATGGTTTACATTACTGTTGCTAATTTGTAATGTTTCAACATGGTTTACATTGCTGTTGCTAATTTGTAATGTTTCAGCATGGTTTACATTACTGTCGCTAATTTGTAATGTTTCAGCATGGTTTACATTATTGTCGCTAATTTGTAATGTTTCAGTATGGTTTACATTGCTGTCGCTAATTTGTAATGTTTCAGATGGTTTACATTCTGTCGCTAATTTGTAATGTTTCAGCATGGTTTACATTACTGTCGCTAATTTGTAATGTTTCAGCATGGTTTACATTACTGTCGCTAATTTGTAATGTTTCAGCATGGTTTACATTACTGTTGCTAATTTGTAATGTTTCAACATGGTTTACATTGCTGTCGCTAATTTGTAATGTTTCAACATGGTTTACATTACTGTCGCTAATTTGTAATGTTTCAACATGGTTTACATTGCTGTTGCTACCTTCACAGAAGGTTTGGATACTTAGAAAGCAAAAGGTTTAGAAACATGTATGATATCGATTAGAAATACCAAAAAATGTACCATAGAAATGACTCTACATTAATAATGTCTTTCTTCAACATTTTAAATAGGGAGACATTCATAGCCAGTATGATCAGATTGATAAAGAAACCCCCACACTAACAGACAGACAGGTAATGTAATTCTGTTGTTATTAAACTTTTTGGAAGCTTTGTGAATAAAACCTTAAGTATAAAAGTAAACATAGATCAGCATACTTTACTTCTTACATAAAAGTTTGTATTTTATGTAAAAAGTTTATTAATGGCCACTAATGGTAATATTCAAGAACATTTGCTTTTGTTATTATGTTGATTTTTGGGTATATATTTTTTTAAGTTGTTTAAATATATTTTCTTTGATGATTTTTAATTGATTATAGATTGAAGTAGATATTCCAAGATGTCACCAGTATGATGAGCTACTTTCCTCTCCAACTGGACATAATAAGTTCAAGAGGATACTGAAAGCCTGGGTGGTCACACATCCTCAGTATGTGTACTGGCAAGGACTGGACTCACTGTGTGCCCCTTTTCTTCGGCTCAACTTTAGTAATGAAGGTACGCATAAAATGATTTTACATTTTATAGAAAATCTTTGAAATAAAGAAATAGTTAATGATGTTTATCTGTTAGAAAGTTGTCATTATGAAACATATTCACAAAATAACATCACTAAAAATAATCTATTTTTTGTTTTTCTCAAAAAAAAATCATAAAACATAATAATTATATGTGGCCTGAAAATGTCTGATTTTATATTGGTTGTTTGTAGTGTTTGTGTACTATATATATGTTTTACAATAATTATAAGTGGCCTGAAAATATCTGATTTTATATTGGTTGTTTGTAATGTTTGTGTACTAAACATATGTGGTTCTGCTTAGCTAAATGTAAACATAAACTTTTTATATAATATGTGTTCAGAAATTAAATATTCTTAGAGTTTGTGCCTTAGTTACACTTCTGTAAGTTAACTTTTCATCATTAAAACAGGTATTTTTTTATCATGTTTCTTTTTTATCTCAGCTCTTGCCTATGCCTGCCTCTCTGCCTTTATTCCAAAGTATTTAAACATGTTTTTCCTGAAAGACAACTCTCCAGTTATTCAAGGTACCTATTTTTTTATTTTATAAAGTGAAATGATTCTTCAATTAATGTCTGTGATTGAATTTAAAATTACATGCAGTATTAAAGTCATGTATATAGAAGTTTATAATGCCCAAACAGAAGCACTAAATAACAATAGTGTTAAAAGAAACTGTGACAACAGACTAGTATATTCCCAGTATGTCATAGAATAGCTGTAGGTTTTGTATTATTTTAATGCGAGGTATTGAACTTGGTTTGTCATTAAATGTAATGTCTAATATTACCTGTCAACTCATGCTCCTTACAGAGAAGCACTTATTTATCTCTAGATATATATTAACATATTCTTTGTCTCAGTAAAGCTGTTGAAAATTATAAGGTAGAAACTTAAGCTAATCACACAAGTTAGAAGCTAATAAGATGTAAGAACAAAAGGTTGAACTAGAATTTGTCCTCATCCTCTCCCTTGTTTAGTTCTAATGATATGTTACATATGAATTTAACATGCCTAGAACTGCACAGAAAAGTTTAAATAAACTTCTCATTCATTACTTACATATATTCTGATTGTAAAATATGTACTTAGTTAGGTGTAGTCAGATATTTTTATTATATTTTTATCTTAACAAATCAGAATGCTACTGAGATTTTTTCATTAATATTTGTTTTTATGAACATTTTATACCTGTTGTCTAGATATGGCTAATATGTGATGCAGAATATTATTACAGACTAAAATATAACAATATGTATGGGCTAGTATGGCAGTTGATTAAGTTACAGGCTAAAATGTGACTACCTATTTGACAGCTTTATACTTATGTAGTTACCGGAAACAATCCCTCTTCATGTTCTTGTAAAGGTATTGCCCCAATTCCAATGTCTGAAGCATCAGCCTGGACAATGAAAGGTTTGTTGAAGTCTGGCATTCTAAGAATTGGTGAGCTTCCTAACATGTTCTTTAATTTCTGGATTGCCACCTGGTGTGGTTGTTCTCACTTCATCTTGTTGGGTAAGCCATTCTTGGTCAGATCAGTCAATGGTGCAGTAATTTCAGCATAATTTGGGATG